CCTTAAACCACACCCCTTTCCCACCAAACCACACCCCTTCTATGTAAATCATGCCACTCCCCACAAACCACACTCCGTTCCCTTCAAACCACACCTCTTTCCTCCAAACCGCGCCCATTTCTTGTTAAACCAAACCCCTTTCCCTTAACAACGCCCCCTTAGCCCAAATACACACCCTGTCCAAAGCCACGCCCCCTCCATGGGGTATGTGTCATCCATATTAACGAGCCCATCATGCATATTAATAAGCCCCTCATGCACATGGGTCACTCACTGTAGCCCATGCCCTGCAGGAAGTACTTGATGGCCTCGGTCAGCCGGTGATCGACGGCCGCGGGCACGACGGCGACACGCGTACCCGGAAGGCTGCGGGCCTCGTTCGCCGCCCGGCGGGCGGCTGCCGCGACACGGGAGACAACGGCGCGCGGCTCCTCCCGAGCCGAACGCTGGGAGCCCGGAGACGCGGCGGAGGTGGAGCCGCATCTGCGCCTCGCTCGCCGTACACCCGTCTCTGCGGCAGCGCGCTCCGCCCCCGGCGCTGGGGAAGTGAGGTCACGCAGTATGGCGGCTCGGGGCCGGACGGGCTGAGTGGCCGGTGGTGTCGGGAATCCGTGTCCATCCTGCTCAGGAGCTGCGGTGACGGTGCCGTCTGTCTCGCTAGTGGCGAGCGGCGAGACCAAAGCCGCGATGGCATCCGGAACCGCAGGACTGTGAGGCATCAAAACGAGAGCAAGCAGGCCGGGCAGACCGACAGAACCTGGTCGCGGACGAGCCGAGCTACCGCCATGGAGCTGAGGGTTGGGAACCGGTACCGGCTGGGCCGCAAGATCGGGAGCGGTTCCTTCGGGGATATCTATCTGGGTAAGGACWATGAGTCGCTGGGGTTTTAGCTGGCCGTTTCGTCACTCTGGAGAACATGGGAGGCCTAGGCGGCTCGGGCAACTACCGGGGCTACGGGCTCAGCAGCATTAATTAAATATTTCTTTGACATCGTGTCCTGCTGACTTGCACAGTGCGGAAAAGGGAAATTCTGCTTTCCTCGGCTGCCTCTTTTCGCTGTTTTCTGGTGACCTTGGGCACCGTTTGCGTCTGTAAAATGGGCATAAGGGTAAAAATCGCCTCGTTTAAAAAGAAGGGGGAAAAGAAACCCCAAACACGTAAATCCTGAAAACACCACGACACGGTCGGGAAAACGTTCTGGGTAAGCAACGTGTACCGGGGTTAAATATCGCTGCGGTGGACTGGGAAAAATTGCTGTCGGACGGTTATTTATTTCTCCTGTCAGGCCTAAAAAAAATTGCACGACTACAGGCGATCGGGTTGCCGTAAAAAAAAAAAAAATCTTCAGTTCCTTCGCATCTCATAGTTCGGGTAATCCTGTTCCTCGAGTGTCGCCTAATAGCGATCGCTATGCAAAGGTAAAACGTATGGGGTTGGATTTGTYTTTGTTAGTCCATTATTATAATTCTAATGGAATAGCCTACTGCTAACACTTATGACAAGTGCAAATAGCGGGTACCACAAATTTTGAAAGTGGGTATTTTTAAAGCACGTATTCTGCAACCTCTCGAGCATACTAGGCGGTTTAAATCCAAGGAATTACGACTGTTACGTCCTGTCCTGTAGACGCGAGTACTCTGCTTTTGAAAATTGTGTCAACTTAGAAACGCAAATCAAGAGGGGGGTGAAGGTGAAACTCGCTGGGGCTAAGGTTCATTAATTGCACACTTGCGGAAGATAAAAATAGCATCACTTGCTAACTTACGCGATATGTTTGGCGATGCACGCAGTATGTATGAGAGGCAGGGGTTTTTTTTTCTAGACAGCAGCGCTTCATCTTGCGATGCACACCTGGCATTCCAAAATAATTCGTTAGCTAGAGCTGCTCATCTGCAGATAATGAAATAGCGGTTATCCGCAGTTCATATGCCTAATGAAAACCCCCGTTTCTAACTGAAGGTATGCACTTGTCTACAGACAGGACATTATTCTTCCTCCCTGCGGCGTGTGTATAGAAGATTGAAGATGTGACGGAGATTGTGGTAAAGCTTGTGTAGAAATCCTCGTTAGCTTCCCTTAGGATTTTGAGGGGCAATTAAGACGGCAGTTAAAATCTGAAAAATCTTAGGTAATTTGCAAAATCTTGACTACCACTCAGGTTAATCGGTTTACGTTATAGTATTAACCTGAAGTGCAAGTAAAACAAATGCATGCAGCTCACACCGGTAAGGTTGCGCAGAAGGTAATAGTTCTCTGTTATTATTATTAGCGTGTGCGTTAATGTTGTGCTGAATTTTGTGTGATAAATCCTCTGGGTGTTAGCTTTTTTTTTTTTTAATTTCTAAGTAACCGTCGTGAATTTATGTTTAGGGCTTACTGCAAATGTCATGCCTGAGCGGGTAACAAGCACAGAAGAACGTAAATGGAAGACCGGCTGGCAGCTTGGGTTTATTTTCCCAGGGGAAATTACTGTCTATTTGAGAACCTAATCCTTTGGTGGAGTCCCATTTGTCTGCCTACCGTTCTCTGGTGGAATGGGCATTAGAAAATCGTGCTTTTAGTGATAATGAAATGTGGTCGATTTTTTAAAAAAGTTCCGTTTCCCATCAGTTGTTCAGACTGTATAGTAGATGTAAGTGTCTTAAAATAACTTCTGAAGTATTTCGGAAGTCATTGTTTATTTTTAAGCACACGTGTCTTCTGATAGGCCTTGGTGAATTTGTAGATCACTTCGGTGTACGTACCCATCACAGTTTTATGCTTTGAAAAGGAAGGTTTGATCATTTTTGTGTCTTTCCAGTCCCCAGGTTTTGTTTTAAAGGCGGTTACGAGGCTGTTCCAGAGTAGTGGGGAGGGACTTCCTCGCCTTCCCACCCTTTTTCTTTTCCCCTACTTCAGAATAAGGAGGCCACAATACCRTTAGTAGGGCAGTACCTTCATATTTTTTCCTTTTCTCCTTTGTACCTCAAAATTTGTTCTCTGGAATGGGGGTCTGTGGAGCAGGATTTTAAAATGTAAGGCGCTACTGTAAATAAATGAGCGTGACTAAATTAAAGGAAATACGATTCAGTAATGTACCTAAGTGACCTTCCAGAGCAAGATACAAAAAAAAAGGTTTATAAATAGATATTTGACATGGTTACAAAGGTGGATGGGAGCAAGGGAATCAGAGCAAGCATTTGTTTTGTTGCCCACACCACAAGGTGGAGCGGGAATGAGTCGTGAAAACGCTGCGGCCACAGCATTTTCACAGTTTCTTTCTGTGACCAAAGTAACAGTCCAGGGTTCTGTCACCTGTTGCAGCAGATAAAAAAGAGTTGCGTGAGACAGATCTACATACAGCCTTACTTTTCTTTTGAGACTTCCAGTTGATCACGTTGAATCGTACGTAGTGTGTCTAGAGTGAGCTTCAGACGTTTTRTACATTTTTAAGGTGCATTGTGAAATGCCTAACAAATAGCTGCTGGTCCACTCAGAACGACTAGGTATTGTGGCAACGCCACCTCGATACCCACCTCTGCATGCAAATGGAAAGACATTTTATTAAGCTAAAAAAAAATGCATGGTCTCACGTTAGCTTGAGACAATTCCGTGCCATTCCTGGCAAACTGAAATGTCCATTTTGAGGTGTGGGAATTTAGCATATCCTTGTAGCCCTAGTTACCCTGTCTTTGTGGTAGAAAGCCTGTAAAGCGCTGAAGTAGCTCCCTAATCACACGAGTGGGATTTCACAATTATGAAATTTAGATCGATGCACGGTTACAGTTAAACATAAACATACGGGAAAATTAGGCAGGCAGAAAAACACGTAATTATGCGTGCGTACGAGCATTACAGARCTGACAGGTATAGATGAGAGAAATGGGAAATAATACGCGGTAATTAAGAATTGCTTATGCAAGGAATGACAAGACCTTTTGATCACTGAAAAGCGTTAACGGAAAGTGAGATAGGATAAAAGCATACCTAGTCCTGATAATGGGAAAGGTAACCACAAAAAGATGGTTTGCTGTTAAAAAAAAAAAAAAAAAAANAAAAAAAAAAAAAAAATAAAAGCCACAAAAAGCTCACCACCGAGACAGCTGTTGAACTTCAAGTTAGGCTTTTAAAAGTGGGAATCCGGTCAAAAGGTAGGTGATACACAGTTCACATGATCCTGAACCGTAAGGATTCAGAAAATGCAGAAAAAAGAAAGCCAAATTCTGAGGGTGCAGATACTTGGCAATGTGTCTGTGAAGTGTCACACATTTCCCATTGCCATTTCCTTTTTTCACATTGTTCTTAAGTTGCTTGGCTGTGAGATCCTGTGTTTTCTCGACTGTTTATTTTGAAGAATGTCAGTTTCTTCCTACGTACTTCGAAACTTTAAAAGTGGACACGAAAGCCGTTTTTCCAGTCACTCAGTTGCTGAAACAAAGATTTCATGAGATTTTAAAAAATGCTTTTTGTAACTGCACATGCTTTATTCTACATAATCTGCCTTCCAACCGTGTAAAATGAGGTACACCCAGAATATGTTGAGATTTAGGGGAGCTGTAATCTCATATTTCCAAGGCATCAGAGAAGGTGATTTGAATTCCTAGCGTTTCTTCCATTGGCAGGGCTGCACATCACGTCTGTAAATGCCGATTCTGAGCGCTTCTGCCGCAAACCAGGAGTGGAAAGATGCCCCCAAGAAGATGCGCTCAGTTTGGTTTTGTTGCTTGGGTATTGTGTTTTGAATGGGGTAGCAGCAATTTTGGCTTCTTGTGCTACAGTGTGTAACAGTTATGTCTTAAAAGCCTAGTCCATTGGAGAGTATCTGTAAGGTTTCAGAAGAATTATCMGATAATCGTGGGTGAAAATACTTAATCGCAGCATGTTTGCCATTGAGAAATAGTTCTTCGATGTTTTGTTTCCACATTGCCAAAGGAAACATGTCCCAAAAGTATTTTGACCAATGTTTAAATTCTTCCGGTTTTAGGAACTGATATTGCTGCCGGAGAAGAGGTTGCGATTAAGTTGGAATGCGTGAAAACCAAGCATCCTCAGCTCCACATCGAGAGTAAAATCTACAAAATGATGCAGGGYGGAGGCAAGCAAATTACTTTCTTTCTTCGTACGTTTTACAGGTTTTGCATCTTTGATGTATCTGCCATCAGGTGGTTCATGTCCAGGATGTCTTTTGACAAACGAGGAGAGGGTGGGAAATGGAGCGGGGTGGGTGAAGAGCAGCGTCTCAGTTCTGCGAGGGTCGTAGAGAGCGGTTCCAAATCTGTGGCTACTGGTGATAATCGATAAGATTCTCCGCAAAGTTTCTCGTGGCTCCGGAATATTAAAATGTGAGGGCTTTGTGCGGCGTGAAAAAAAATTTGGTCCTTTGCCTGAAGTTTGCATAAAGTATTAAGCTTCGCTGTGCAGGGAAACGTTCACGGTAACGCCCATCTTAGAATTCATCTGAAGAGTCTTGAAGATTCACTGTATGAACTGTATAAATTACTTTGTTTTACTGACTAAATTGTTTCTTTTTTTTCTAGTGGGTATTCCCACAATTAAGTGGTGTGGAGCTGAAGGAGACTACAACGTTATGGTGATGGAGTTGTTGGGACCGAGTCTCGAAGATCTCTTCAATTTTTGTTCCAGGAAGTTCAGTCTCAAGACAGTCCTACTGCTCGCTGACCAAATGGTAGGAAACAGCTTTGTCKATCTCAATTTGTTGGGATGTTGAAATTTTTTTTGGTAGATCGTATGCATTTGATTTCTGTAACTTAGAAGTGAATAGGCCATATTATTCAAAAAAAGATTCAAAATCAATTCTGTTTATGTAAATCCAAACTATCCCATCAAAAGCGAATATCAATTCTTCTTTAAAAACTGGACTCGCGCCGTTTGCGAACGAGGTGTCACGCTGCTCAAAGACTAAGAAATTTTCCTGGGAAACTTTTTGGAAACGGATGTAAAACAGATGCAGGTGAAGAGTCACAACGAAGGTTTGTCCATTGTCTTCTAAATTGTGTTCTCTTTGATTCACTTATATTTTACGATGAAGAGGGGTTTTATCTCTTTCTTTGTTAAGATAGAATTGCTACTGTTTTTGTAAGAAAAAGGTGTATGCCTAGTCTCTCGACAATGATTATTTTTTTGTGGTCTGTACTTAGATAAGTCGAATTGAATATATTCACTCTAAGAACTTCATCCATCGAGATGTGAAGCCAGATAACTTCTTAATGGGCCTGGGGAAAAAAGGCAATCTTGTCTACATAATAGACTTTGGACTAGCAAAGAAGTATCGAGACGCTCGAACTCACCAACATATTCCATATCGTGAGAATAAAAACTTAACAGGAACTGCCCGTTATGCCTCCATCAACACTCATCTTGGAATCGGTGAGCCGGGAAAAGCAGTGAATACAAACTTTACAAGTGTCGTGTAATGTAGTAAGTAGATGCGTGTAATTTTAGTGTGAGTGGATGTCTATTTGTGGAGGCGTAGGAGACGGGTCCTATTTTTGGTACTAAGAGCGCGGCGTGCGTGGTCTCGCGTACGTCGACTGGGTGGGATTCAGTCGGTTTGTGATGGTCGGGAATTAGCGCATTTTTTAAAGAATACAGGGATAGTGGGGTTTTTCTTGTGCTACATGAATTTGTCGTGGGCACAATAGCTCTCAGCTGTCTCTTGTGTTTGTAAGGATTTTTTATGCCAATCTTGTTGCAAAGACTTTTGTTTTTCCAGCAGAAAATGAAACCTAATGAGTTCACTTTTTTATGCTGTTGTAGAGCAATCTCGCAGAGATGACTTGGAGTCCTTGGGCTATGTACTGATGTATTTTAACCTGGGCTCCCTCCCCTGGCAGGGACTGAAAGCAGCAACAAAGAGGCAGAAATACGAACGTATCAGTGAAAAGAAAATGTCTACGCCCATTGAGGTTTTGTGTAAAGGATATCCTTGTAAGTTACTCTACTGTGTCGCTAGGTCTACGTGTTCACATTTTAACAGCTCTTCCTCTTTCTTTACATTAAATTTTACCACTCTTTATCACCATCTCTCCCTCCCCTCTCCCCTTACCTTACCCCCTGGGATTTTAATGCATCTGTGGTAAAAATACTACTGAAGACTGAGATCAGACTCTGTTCGTAGAGTATTTCCAGCAATCCCTCATCCCACCTACTGAGGTGCCATTGAGTTGAAGGGTAGTGAGGTTCATCCGATTTGCACCGTGTTTTTTGTGTGCCTGTTGGCCGGATAACTCGTAATGGACAAATACCATTTTAACAAACTGCCCRTTTCTCTGTTTGTGTGGGTACTGTTGTTGCTCAGATGAATTGGAATGCACTGTCGGATGCACCTGTTAGCCACCGCAGTTGTTTCACTCGGGGCTTATCTTCCCGGGTTCGTCTGGTTTGGCCTGCTGACGGATTAGAACTTGTGAGAGGYGTAAGAAGCCTTCCTGTATCCTGGCATCATGCCTCAAAGCAGTTCTGTTTCTCAGTTTGTTATTTACACCAAAACAAGTAATAAGCCATTTTTGAGTCTTGAAAAATGGTATTTAAATCTGTTGTAAAACATAGTAACACTAGCTACCATCAGAGGATTATTTTCATTTCACACAGACTTCCGTCTGTTCTTTCCACCCTCTTGGCTTTAGCAAGTAGGTACAACAGCAAGAGCTATAGTTTTTGTTTGGGTTATATGAAAACTCACCTATTTTGATGTGTTTCAAATGCCCCTTCGTACGTGTTCCTTTACTCTCGTGAACCTTGTGCTTTCTCTGGGGTTGACAGGCGGCAAAGACTAATCAACTTCTCTTGTGCCATTTGTCAGACTTCCCTTCTGTAGTCTAAATGAATGCCTTATTTCATCTGGGAAGATCTAAAGTCAAAAGCTAGTGTTTTGATACTGCTGTTTTCTGTGGTGCACGGAATTCACAGAAAAGTTCGTTTTTTTTTGCTTTGTGAGTAATATTTTGCTTGCTGTTTAAAAGCAAGCATTCAGACTATTGTAAACTTAAGATGTGGCATGATTTACCTGGGAAATTCAATGTGTTTTGTGACATAGCGGATGTGAATCTCTACGTGGATTAGCAAAGAAATGCTATTCCGTGTCCCACAAGAAATCGTGTTCGGTATATTCCAAGAAAATTTTAAACCTTTTCTCCCTCGCCAACTGTCGGTTAAAGAACTACCRTTGGGTCCGCTCTGCTGTTGACAAATGACATCGTTGCCTGCTCTGTGATAGACAAATAATCTGTTTTTCAGGGTCGACATGATAGATGGGTTTCCTTATAGGGTTTCCTTTGGTGGATTTCTAGTACAAGATCATTATTCAGCACATTCCCTCCTTTTCAGGTTTGGGGGTTTTTTGACTCATATTTATGAAAAGCAAATGTGAAGCTGAGGATAAAAGCCAGGTTTTCTGTAATTACAGCTGAATTTGCCACATACTTGAATTTCTGCCGTTCTTTGCGTTTTGATGACAAGCCGGACTACTCCTATCTGAGGCAACTGTTCAGAAACCTCTTCCATCGACAAGGGTTTTCCTATGACTACGTATTTGACTGGAACATGCTGAAATTTGTGAGTAGCGCACATTGGTTTCTAGTGTTTTTAATTTTGGATGGTTTGGTGGCAGTTTTTTGCTACTTTGACAGTTTTGAGTATCTTAACTGATACTATGAGATTGTCTTCCGCTTTTCATCGTGGCCACTCTACTGTATAGGCAAAATGATCAGGAAACGAGGAAAGGCAGGAGATACAGAATCCATGATATAAGGCTTGAATGACAACAAAATTTAAGTTACAAGGTTTTTACCTGGAAGGCTTCTTAGATCAATCCTTTAGAGCACTCACCAAGCTAGGTTGTGGAATTAGTACGTTTTCCTGCCTCGATTTTTAACGCGGGTCATTTGCAATTGTCGACGACGTGTTGGGCTGCCGTAAGGGTACGCGTGCACGTTAGCGTTTTGAAGACTATCCGAGCGGCTGTATGGACAAAATTTATGGAAGCGCTCAAGAAATCTTAACAGAAAACTTAATGCCCTGTCAAACTTCAGTTCACAAGTTGTCCGGTTCTTTCTTTTTGGTATTTTTACACAAACATGTAGTTGTAAACTCAATAATCCCCCAAGTTGTTGACTAGTCTTGACCCGCAGGGTGCGAGCAGGGCGGCAGAAGATGCCGAACGTGAAAGGCGAGAACGAGAGGAAAGATTGAGGCACGCACGAAATCCAGCTGTACGTGGATTGCCCTCCACTGCTTCCGGCAGGCTAAGAGGAACACAAGATGTAGCTCCGCCTACTCCCCTTACCCCAACTTCACATGCTGGTAAGCGAGTGAGTACGTGGGTGGGTGTACCTTGTAGACCACGCTAATGTGCACTTTCTCTCTAGGCAGAGTTTGGCTTCTGGGTTTGTTTTTTTTTTTCCCTTGCTTTTTATTAGATTGAAGGTAATTGCTTACGCTCGTTGCCTGCTTATTGATACTCTGTTTTCTCTGAAGTGTCGAGCAACAGCCTCGATTTCTCATGTTTGGTTCTGAGGAATTTTTATGTGAAAACAGCAGTAGTGTAATTTTTCCAATGGCCATGTTAAAATGGTGTTCCTCTTTGTGAGAATCTAATGCGCTTTTTCTTACAGCCAACACCTCTCCTCGGCCGGTATCTGGTATGGAACGGGAAAGGAAAGTGAGTATGAGATTGCATCGTGGTGCCCCAGTCAATATCTCCTCGTCCGATTTAACAGGCCGACAAGATACCTCTCGCATGTCAACTTCGCAGGTAAAAAAAAAAAAAAAAATCCGTGTATTGAAAAAGAAATGCGGGCGATTTGATAAAGTTAATTTGCTGAAAGAACTTATTCAAATCCCATTCAGCCTAGCCTTGGACACCCCCAAGATTGGGGAGTCCACAGTCTCTCTGGGCAGCCTGTTCCGATGCCTCACCACCCTTATAAGTAAAGAATTTTCTTCCTGATGTGTAAATGTATCCTCCTTCAGGTTACGGTCAGTCAACCTTGTCCTATCAGTACATGCCCTTTCTATATGCCGTGTGAACAAGCCTCTGTTCTTGATGTAAGCCCCCTTTAGGTACTACTTTCAGTTCTCCCTAAAGTCTTCTCCAGGCTGAACAGCCCCAACTCTCTCAGCCTGTTTTCGTAGGAGAGGTGCTCCGGTCCCGTTGTCAACTTAGTGGCTCTTCTCTGGACTCGTTCTAACGTTGTCGATGTTGTTCTTGTGTCGGTGGCCCCAGACCCGGACACAGTACTCCGGGTGGGCTCTCGCGAGGGCAGAATAGAAGACGAGAATCCCCTCTCTCTGGTCGCCGCTCAGTTTTCTTCTGATGCGGCCCGGAGTGCGGTCGGCTTTCTGGACTGCGAGCGCGCGTTGCCGAGTCGCGTTGGGCTTATGATCCGTGAACGCCCCCAAGTCTTTCTCCCCAGAGGTAGTCTTGATCCATTCTCCCCCCAGCCTGTACTTACGCTTGAGGTTGACCTGACCCACGTGCCAGACCTTGCGCTTTACCTTGTTGAACTACGTGGGGCTCACGGAGACCCCCTTCCCAAGCCTATTGAGGTCTCTCTGGATGGCATCCCTTCTCTCCAGCGTGTCGACTGCATCGCACAGTTTGTGGTTGTCAGCAAATTTGCTGAATGTACGATCGATCCCGCTGTCTGCCTTGCTGATGCAGATACTGAATGGCACCAGTCCGAGTGCTGACCCCTGAGGAGCAAACACTCTAACACTAACGGAGTGGAGCCTGTTTTCCTATGTGTGGGAACTATATCTGTAGGAAGTAATGACTGAGGAGGCAGGTGTAACTTTGGAGAGGTTAGAGTGGTGGTGTAAGGAAAGGGCACAATTTCCTCTTTGAATCTATGTACTGTACAGTAATGGGCAGAAGCGGAGAGGTTATTTTGTGTCATTAACCCATCAAGATGGGTTGGGAAAACAGATCCAAGGATGTGAGAGTTTATGCTTCTTTCGGTTTGTCTGAAAAGTAAGAAAACATCTTGAGTGAGTTGGTGTAGTGTTTCAGAGACAGTGATTTTAACAGGAATTAATGTTTAAGGAGAAAACGTGCTTAAAATTAAAACTGCTCGCGTGTAAGAAAAGGCAAAATAGAGGTCTAATCGAAGGTAGTTACCTAGTGAAACAACTTCTGTAATAAGTAGATCCTCTCTCCTGTCTGCCTTTGCATTGATGCTGGATTCATTTCTAAGTGGTGCATTCAGGTCGAATGCAAGCCTAAAGTACAGGTCTGCGTGTGGCCTAGGGTTGTCCGTGGTGGACAGGATCGGTGTCGAATCACACCGGTCATGAAATGGAGCTTCTGCTCTTAAGCTCTCTAGGTGAATTGTTCCTTTGGTCTCCTTTACACGCAATTTTTAAATGTTAAGACACATAGTTAGGGAGGTAATGCACGTTCCAGTAAAAAAATACTTTGAGTCGGTTCTGTCAGTCCACATTGCACAGACTGCATCCTRAAAGCGGTTCATCTCAAGAGTCTAGTTATGGGTGAGTAGTCTTCATTTCCTTTGACGAAAGGGTCAGTCTAACAGCTCGTGGTTACGCAGTAAGTTGTTTAACTTTCTTTTCTTGACTGTCACTTTCGGTACCCGGCAGTCGAAGCTGTGGCAAATTCTATCGGCTACAGAGGTGTTCTCTCCGTATTTGGAAGAAAATATAGAAATGGCTCACAAAGAAATATTTTGCTAAGTCGCTTTGACAGAAGATTTTAGAAGGCTACAGCCAGCACTGGCATTGAATGACTTTAGCGTCGTGCCATACTTCCAATGCTTCCACATTATCCATTTTCTCATCTGCAAATCTTCCTCCACCTATCCATCTCAATAGGCACCATGCTCCGCGTTGTTCTTCCGACCCTGTCRGCTTCCTTTGAGGATTAATGATTTGTTCCTTTTACGTGTTTCTTAATATGATAGAAATGTCTTATAGAAGTCTGAAATCAGATCTTCTCAAAAGATACAGTTGCTGCTGGAAATTCAGGTTGGATTTTTGTTAGACGTCTTTATATGTCGGGGCAGTGGAACTGTTACAAATTGCTGTCTTTTCCCCTACCTCAGAATAGCATTCCTTTCGAACACCATGGCAAGTAGCTGCTCGTCTCCTTTCGTTGGAAGGCAGCACTGGGTGAGTGCTTCTCATTAGACACCGAAACTTTGGATGGGGTGGGGACAAAACTCTTTGTAAGCATCTGGCTTTGCTCCTTCTACTCACGTGATCTCATAGTTGTATCTGGGCCTTCTGGTCAGATGCTTGAGGAAGCACTGATTTTTCTCAAATGTCCTTCCAAAAGCTGAACTATTGCTGCTGTTCCACTTGGACTCTTAAGCAGAATATACAAAAATAGTGACTGAAAAGGTCCCCAAAATGGTTCGAGTATCAACAATAAAATCAAATAACCGAGTCTAAATTTCAGCTGTTTGAGAATTGCATGTCTTTCCAGGGATGTCAATGCAGCAGTATCTCATCCAGTAAAAACCAGTCCCGCTTCAAACTCCTTAAAGCAAAGTACTCATATGAAGAATCAATTGACAGTGTTACTCAAATGAGGCTCTGTCTTGTCTTGTCGTGAATAGAATGTTCTACTACGGCCATATCCATTTTTCACTGTTTTATATTCTCCTCCATGCCTTATGAGCTCTCATTTTAAAATACCCAGATCTGTTCAGTTCTGTATTTAAAAAAAAAAAAAACAACGTTCTGATACTAACATGAGCAGTTGACCATGAGCATTTCGGAGGTCGATTTGCTCAGAGGGATTTGAGTATTAACAAGTCCTTTTCGTTGTTTAGTGCAGTAGAAGTTTCTGCCTTTCTGTGTGCAGCTTTTGGCTTTTTAGTCTGTTCTGCTTTTGGCAATAACAGGTTTTGTATGAGAAATAATAACTTCCAGTTGAACTCTGAACCTTAATGGCTGAAGAATGCTTTTCTTAAGCATTTCAGGAGCTTCTTTGCTTTGCTACTTATTTAAAAAAGGCTGTGAGATTTTTACGTTCCTTAAYGAATTCTGTTGTATGACTCTTGTCTGCTGTCTCACTTACTCTGTAAAGCCTAAGCTTGCATTAATCCCGTATCTCTAGTTGGTGAACAATCCTGCTATTCTTCTGTTTTCTCCTTCTGCTTTTGTGTGCTTGGCTGACTGTGCACAAGCTGCTTCGTGAACAGTTTGTAACATTAAAAAGATCTAACTGTAAGTAGCAGCTTAACGCTTTAAAGACCAGTTATCAGATATTAGAAAAAAAAAAAAAAAAACAAAAAAAAACAACCAAAAAGCAAACCTAAAGGTTTGCATTAAAAAGCCTACGTGCAGGAGATGTGGAGATTCCCGCCTGGGTCATGCCTGCGTTGGTTGGCCTATACCGGGTGCTTCAGTACTTGTAGCCGTTTACAACTGAAATGAATGCTGAATACGGATTCCCAGCTACCTAGATGTTTCTCGCTTCCTAAATTACAGATGTGTATCGTTGTTTTTCCCTTTCGTGGTGAAAGTGGTACTGAAATAGTGCTACACTCTTACTTCAGTAGGTCGAGCTGTGGAAATACATGAAGGATCTTTTAACACGACGTCCCATGGAAATTGAAAAGCGATTGAAAATAATGAATGATTTTACTTTCTTATTAATGTTATTTCAAAATTAATTATCCTATTACTGTGCATTCGTAACGTTTTCATCTGGCTGGTTCTTTCTTCTGCGCATGTTTATGCCCTGTCTGCTTTTGTTCAAAACGTCCCCTCTAGCTGGAAAGGTGAATTTTCCATGTTAAGTTCTAACAAAAAAAGGAAAATAATAGGGAACTTCATGTAGCTACAGGTGGGTGTGAAACACTGTATTGCTTATTGGATTTTAAATTCAGACAATTAAATTTTTGCAATGAATACTTTAAAAGTACCCTGAGAGACGTTTGGATGTTAACCGAAAGGATATGTGCTAACGTTGTCCTTTTTTTTGGCTTCGGTAGATTCCTGCTCGGGTAAATGCCAGCGTTCTCCAGTCTGCTGTGCACCGATGAACATTACTTTGCCGTGGAAGGCAGATAATGCATGGCTGATCTCCCGTGTTACCAGTGGCTTTACTAGCAAAAATACCCTAAACTAGAGTGGAAATCGGAGTTCTCCGCGTGACCTAAAAGGCACTTGGAGGAACGTGCACAGACTCCGGCAGCTGCCGTTACAGGACGCTTTTGCCAGAAACCCAGTGACCTTAAGAGAACCCTGTGGTAACAGGGCTGGAAAAGAAAGATGGTTTACAGAGTTCGCTGCCTGTTATTGGATGGCCATTTCAGTTTTCCTTCCACAGGCGGCAGACTTGACTCCCTTTTTATTATTCTACTGTAACTATAAATCTTTTACTTGGTTTAAGAAAGTTTTTTGTATCATTTTGCTAAGATTATTGGCTTAATTCTCTGTAAAGAACTCTTGCTTTTGTCTGATTTAAAAATGTAGAATATAAACGAACCTGAACTAAAGACAATGACTTGAAATTCTTGTTTAAAAGATTAGTCTGCCAGGGAACATACAAATGAATCAAAACCATCAGATGTTACTTAAATTGTTTACTTTCATGTATTGTCCCATTCCAGGTTGCTTTTCTCGTGAAATTTTAAAGATTGTTAGGAGTTTATTTTACCGTTTGCCATCTTCATTCACACTGGACATTTAACTTTCCGGGTAACGCGAAGGAATTAATGCTCATTCTTTTTCATAAAAGCATACTAAATAACCTGCAGGAGAGTCTTAAGTATAGTAGAGGTTGTAACGATGGATTTCTTTTTTGTAAAGAACGTGAAGGACAAAGTGAAAGATTGGCATTTGAGAGATTTAGGATTAGAAAGCTCATTCTGTCCCTCTGCTTAGTTGGGATGAATGGATACTTGCAAACATTTTTTTTACTGGGAGAATTTTGTTTCTCTGAGGCTGGTTAGCTTGGAGGCTGTTTACAAGTGCAAAATAGACGTTGCTGCTGAATCTTCGGTGATTTTGCATGTTTCATTCAGTATCCACATGTTTATAAATAGGTAAACGCATTGCTTTTGGCCCTCCGTTACGTGCCGAGACTCAAAAGAGAAATTCTGAAACATATAACCTCCCTCCAAAATCAGCAACCTATTCTTCCTGTGAACTCCTGAGAATTTTTACAATTCAGATGCATATCATATTTAATTTTTAACTATGCTTAACCTGAGTATGCCCAGAATCATTAGCTAGGCATGAATGACTCAACATGCTCAGGTTGTTGGTTATGAAATTGGGGAAAATTTTCATATTGCTTGTTACTGTAAGTCGTCTCGTAAAAGTAGGTGTTCCTGTCCTCATGGTACCTGAAACAGTACTGGAACTGTTATGACTGAAATTATGGGAAGGTCTGTATTAGAAATGAAAGTATATACGGCGATTTTGTTTGAACGGTTAGGTATTTTGCAAAATTCCTCCCTGCTCGGAGGCAATTTTTAAAGGTTTATTAGTGTTCAGATTTTTATCGAGAGTAGTTTTTATTGTTTGGGTGTTTACAAGTTCTTTTTTGCCCTCTCAAAAGTCCACATACTCAGTATTACCATTCTTCTTTGGGTGTTTCCATAATCATTAGCTATTTACCTCTGTGTACTCTGGGTCGGACTGGGGAAATGCGTATTTGCGGAGGGTATAGTGGAAAAGCTTGAGAATTGGATTGATTTTGGTAAGTTTGCGTAAGAGAATTATTTCCTCAGTTACTATGAACTTTAGGTATTTTAGGCATGTGCACTACCATTTGAGCAGTTTTACACTTCACTATGCTTTCCTTGTAAATATGTGTGGTTAACAGTGTAATGTTTGAGGGTCTTAAAAAAAGCAGCCTTTTTATTTTCTATGTATGTGGACCATTAGATTGCTGTACTATACTTAAAAGTTGACTGCAGACTTCTAGAATTGTACTCACTTGTGGGCACTTTTTGTCCTTCAGAATAGTTAAATTTCATCATGAAGAAACTAGACTGTCTATATAAACCTGTGTATTGAAAACCAGTATCTCAAAGCACTTCATTTGTACTACCACTGTATTTGTGTACTTTAACAGTTGTGTAAATACATTCATAGTAACTTCTGTTCTTCTTTGGTGTTACTGACTTACTGACTCACAATGAATCCTTAGCCTTTACCTGATGCAACGTTTTTTTTCCCTCTTTTTAAGGGGTCTCTGTACCGGCTTGCAAACTTAYTGTCGGTCGCAAACATTTTAATAGATTGTCTTTGTACCATAACTTTCAGTGAAAGATTTCGGTCGTTTGATAGTTATGATCCTGGGATATGCGGGGAGAAAGAGAAAGGGGCAATTGCTTTGCTTGTGGAAAGCGTACGTTTTTGTCTCTTTAAAGGTAAATGGTTTAGTTTGAATACTGCTTTTTTTTTTTCCCCAGAGGTTTCTCATTTTCTACAAATGCTTTTGCTTATAAAGTAATGCATGGAATTGATAAGGAAGTAAAGTAAGGGAATTAAAATTGGGTAGGTTATCGGAGCTAGGATAAAAACAAGAAAAAGTGAGCTCTACCCACAGTGCCCTGYAAAATAAAATCCTTGCTTTTACTATGTGGTTCTCAAAGGTGCATAATAATCCAAGGGCAGACGCACCTTCGGGAATCCTCTGTGCTTTCTTATTAGCAGGCCTTTAAAAGTTGGAAGGCTATTTTAATTTATTCACATGGTTTTCATTTAGAACATGGATATATGCTTTTCTGTGAAAAATACCACCTGTGCTGCTCTTTTACATGGTCTAGAATGGTTACAGCGTCCTTGAGTTTTTTGTGGTACAAGTATTTTAAAACCAATTTAAAGTAAATCCTCTGCTTTAAGAGAGATACTAAAACATTTGAGTCCATATGGACCATGTTAATTTCATGAAAATATTTGAAATACCCCTTGGAGGTAGAAAGTAGAACTTATCATTTATTCTCCGGTGGGGAAAAATACCGTAAGCATGCATCTTAGGCATGTTTTTCAATGAGACTCAAGAGTCTTCTGCTATTTCAGAAGTTTAAACACTAATATCTGGATACACGTATTCTTTGATTCAGCGTTTTACTGTGAAAGATTTTAAACTGTTGAAAGAGTAGTAGATGATAAGTTGGAAGACCAAGACCTGTCGTTACTTAATGCTCTGAGGTATTTATCTGGAAGTAGTGAGGAAGGCTGCCAGCTGAAATGTTGCAGACATGATGAAGCAAATACAGAGACCAGTCAAGGAATAAGTGAGTAAGTAGAGGTAAGTAGCTTTTTACTCTGCCTCTCATTTGTTGTACTTTCTCAGACTAATACGGGACTGCTGATCTAACACGCTCTGTCGCCAGCAAAATGCTTCAAAGAGCATTAGATGTTTTCTACGTGGCATTGCACAAAATTAATAGCCGTTATTTTAAATTAGACGATGTTTTAAAATAGTCTTTGGGATCATTTACAGCAAGAGCACCATACCCATTTTGGAGCTGGCCTTGCTATGAGTCACAGCAAAAGCAGCCTCCTCGCACACATTAAACTCTGGCTGCCTGTCAGTTAAGTGTCACCTCTTCTTCGTAAACACTCTTGTCTCGGTGTAGCTGTTTAGGCATGTGCATATGAAGCTCAATTTCGGGGTGTTGAAGTTACTTTTTTCTGAGMTTATTTTCTCAGACCCACAGCCTTTGACAACCAGATATTTATTTACTACATTTGCACCAGTTTACTAAAAAGCATTAAAAAAAAATCTAAGTATAAATGTACACATTACATTAAAGTGCATTAACAAGAAACAAAATGTCATCTCACACAAAATTGAAGTGTATTCCCATAATCCTAAGGACGAGTGTGGCAAAGAGACACAGACACAYGTTAACAAGTCAATACTCACCCCCGTAACATGTAAGCGTTTCGCATTCTGAAATTCTTCTCCTTATGATTGTCTGCCAAGCTAAACATTTTCTTTACGATGTACCAGAGGTGCGTATGTGAATTTTCCTTTTTTGTTTTGAAGTTTGGTTGCTTGATTAAGGGAGTGTTCTAATCTTTTTTAGAAAATGATTCTGCATTGGCTAAAACACATTTGTGTGGATGGAATTTTCTGTGTTAGACAGCGTATCTGTCCGGTCCTTTACACCGTACCTTCGTACCCTCTCAAGTCTTAACTTTAGGGAACTGGCTGACCTTTAAACAGATAGCTGCATCACTTTAAGACTTCTAGTTCTGCTGAGGTCTTCTGGGATCCAAATAGCTAAAAGGTATTTCATTTAGAATTTTTTTAAAGCGAACTTTTCTTTGCATAGGAGGAAGAAAATAATTTAAACTCTGCTCATTGTCTAATATATAGGCAAACTGTATCTAATCTACTCCTCTGGGTATTGTGCATGTTTGATATATATATATATATATATAGAGAGAGAGAGAGAGAGAGAGAGAGAAAGACATACGTACACATGTATGTGCTAACCACATGTGTACTTCTTGATGTAGTCTCCATGTATTACTGCCATTTATACACATTTCCTCTCCTTGCATCAGGAAAATAAGGTCCTAAGATCCATTACATGATCAATCATACATTATTTTAACCGTAAATCCCATAGTACGCAGTTCATAGAACGTATGAAGATATAAAATGTTCTGAAAATTTTATTAGCCTGCAGGGTAAAAGATCATGCGCTACTTTAGGAGAAATAATCTCTGAAAACTGTCTTTCAGTTTTTGCTTGTTCACTTTCCAGACTTCCTGGATATATGCATGAACCGAGTGTCTACATAAATTACATTTATTTCAATAGCATATGATGCAGATTATAATCTTTGGATGCTTGGCAATTCAGTTGCATAATCACCTACAGTACCTTCCTTTTCCTCTAGCCTTTTTTCAAGTCCCAAAATTTTAACCAGGTGAAGGTTGAACAAAAGTTTATGTGAGTATACATTGTATTAAACTGTTCTGCCTGTGACCCTGAGCAATTAATTTCTCATTAGCAATGCTTTATGACTCCTGACCGTACGCATCCTCAAAATACATGGAAGAGAACATCTCGCAGACTGTTCTTAAGGGTATCTCAGTGGTATTGAGATTAAAGAAATACAGTACCGGAATACATGAAGGGATTTTAAATCAATTCATTGCTTTTAAGTATAAAAAATGTATTTATTTGTATTTATCAGGCTGTTTATTTAAATAATTACAATAAACAGTTAATTTAATAAGGAGCCTGTCTGAACAGTGCTGGTGGGTACCTAAGGACTAGCTTCTTGTGGGGTTTGGTTTTGGTCCTTCTTGGTTTTGTAACAACTTGGGGAGGAAGAGAGAGGTCTATCAAACAGAAGGTCAATGTGAAGGCCTTTGCAGCTGTGTCGATAGGAGCGATTGGGCGCACGCTTCAGCGCAGTCAAGCGCAGCGGCCGGCAGCTGTGCAGCCTAGGGATCAGATGTGGAGGTTTCCTTCCCATCAGTATAAAAAAATTCTCTTTCCGAGAAGATAAAGGCAGCTGAACAGAAAGAGGACCGGAGGGCTAGCACACGCTTGGGTGTTATCCTAGATTAGGACAGAACAGGAGCGAGGAGCTTAATTGCCTCTAGATCTCTGAAGTACTCTCAAGCCTGCCAGTTTTGATGCTGTTAAAAGAGCTGCATTAGGAGTTTCTCATCTTTGCATTGATGCTTCTCCTAAGTAACCAAAATGGTAAGATTTTATACTGCTCATATGGTTTTTTGAATTGCTTAGTGAATGAAATTCTAACCCTTTTTTTCTCACAGTCCATAAAGAAGTGCTGTGATTTGATCACTCTCATTCAGTAAGCATCTCCCGCTGTAACAAATACTGCAATCCATGGGTAGGTCTGTGCTGAAAACGGCACGAGACCTTTGGCAGTCCCAGTCAAAGTAATGGATCTTTGAGTCAAAGAAAATAACTTGTACAGGCAAATGAGGCCTTTCTGTGAACACTAGTTTTACTTAGACGTTATTTATTCTTTCTTGTTGAAACATATCTCCTTGTCCTCCTAACTGCCTCTTCTGTCTCAAATCATATAAAATTGTAACATAAAACTTCTTGTTTCCAACTTAATCGTAAAAGTGTTGCGTATGCAAAATGATACACAGTCTGGAAGGTCAGTATAATAAGCACAAATGACATTCTGTCACACATAAAGCAGTCTAGGTAATTTGCAGAATGTACAGAAACTAAATTGTKCCAAAACCTGAGGTCAAAGGGATAACCATTTAGTTCTGTGATAACAGTGCAGCATTATCTGGCAAAGAAATACGGCGATCAAAACACAGAGTAGGACAAAAATGGATGAGAATCTGAATTTACCTTTGGAAAGGTTTCTAGTTTTTGCTTTTTGAAACAGGGAACACCAATCTCAAAGCTGTGTCAGGCCTTCATGTAATCATCTGAAGCAGCCTGCAAGGATATTATGAACTACTCCGTGGATTCTGTTTTTCTCTTGCCTTCTGGAGCTACGGGTGTTATGTTTCAGTACCGATTTAGTCTTTAGCAAACTGAAGCTATGTTCAGTGAGTAAAGTTTTACAACTGGCAAATGTCGTTCACTATAATTGCTGCCACTACATGAATAAAAGTTTTTAAAATAATACAACAYATAGGATATAAAAATAAACAGTTTATTCTGTGCAGCATCCCTTTCTTTTAAAAGTTAGGATTCTACCTTTCTAATTTCTGTGCAAGGTTGTCCTTGCAATGCAAAACCATTTTGAAGAAACTTCCAAAACGGAAGCTGGTATCAGAGACAGTTCGTTAGAGGATGTTTCGTGGTTTTGGCACTTTGTTTCCACTAAAAATGGTAAAGTAGGAAACAATTACGTTAAGAGTTTTAAGGGATTAGGGCCTTTTAGTTTTCAGTTATTAAGCGAAACAATTTTGGCACCTGAAAGCCAATGTTCCTTTGCTACTACTAAGAAAACTGGATCTATTACAGTTAAGTCTGTTTTGAAGACTGTGACTGCAGCGACAAAGCCTAGACAGCTTTGCACAAGCAGATCTGAGATGTGGGCTGCAGTAGCATGATTTTATATTAAAAAAAAATTGCATATCCTCAGTGGTTTTGTTGGGAAGAAAATAGAATGCCTTTTCCATTCAGTACAGTGCTGACATAAATATGATGAACAGTTCTATCGTGCTTGCTTCCTCAACCAGCCAGAATGGCACTTTGAACTTCGGTAGATTTAGCAGAAAGGTAGGGAAGTGGGATAAATGGGGAAGAAGAAAAAAAAATCAAAACCAAACATACTGAAGCCTTCCTTAGCATAAAATGCTAACGTTGCATTTTATGAATGGCTAACATGTTTCAAAGTAGTTCGGGCTCTTTGTAAGTCTATCCGCTCTAATTTATAGTTTACCTGGAGATTCACACCATTTCTTCTATGTGCAAAATGGACGCTTTTTCAGAATATTCTACTAAACCTAATAATCATGTTCTCTGTGGTCTACTAAAGCTAATAAACATYTTCTCTGTGTTAGTTGTAATATTTTTCAATGCTCCAGGGAAAAATTTTACTGAAAACAGTGTACGAAAATGTGGGCTAACTTTGTTTGCTTAAGGTCAGTCAGGATCCGTTCTGCTAATTTTTTTTTGTTTACTACTACCTCGGAATACCGCTTGTGTGGTCTGATGAGGACACGATCTGAAATGTGCCTTTCCAAAAACAGGATTTCCAGATGATAATTACAAAAGTTACAATACAGAAATGCATTTACATAAATCAAAGTTACAGATATTATCAAAATTAAATTTGGGCTGAGCCAATTAATCTAAAAAATCTAAAAAGGTAAGAAATTCAAAAGCCTAATGGAGACAACTTTAAGTTCCTGAGAATTTTCTCCAGCTCCAAGTCCTTTTCCCTTCATGGAAACACAGGGAAATTATGTTTAGCCATGCAACACAGCAATTTCATCGATATTGTCTGAAAACATATACATAATTTCACTTTTCTCAAAATATGCTTTTCCTATATCTTCCAAGTGAGCGGTTTCTGGTGATGCATAGCGAGAGCCTACTTGTGTTCATAAAAACTTTTTCGTTTACGTAAAATAAATAACCACAATGCCCCGCCTTTTACCGATAAAGCTAATTTTCCGGTAAGACGTTGTCTGGCTAATCAGCTTCCAAAGAGACTCRATGAGCTGACTAGCCTCCAGTTACTAAAGCAGATGGCCCAGCCCTAAACTATTTCTGTTTCTAAAATAAATAGTGTTGAAATTCTTTGCTAAACACTTTTCAGTTCCTTTTCATGCTCACACACATGTTTCTGGGTTAGTTACAACTTCGCCATTTTTTTCAGGCTCATCTTTCAGAAACTGCTCCACTTCAATAGAGTCCACCTTGGCATCCTTGGGAATTTTGTCTTCAGATTTGTTCAATTCCTCTCTTTCTGCTGCTTCTTCTTTTGTATGTGGTTCTTCTGATTTTTTCTTAATGCAGAAGAAATTTCCCAAGGCCAATACAAGGGCTGAGGTGGTAACTTCAATTCCAGCAATAATGAAAACAAACATGTACCTCCCTGTTGCATCCAGAAGTTTGCCTGAAAAAGACAACGTTGCAGATAATTAACAAAAGTGATTATCTTGCAGTAACTATTTTTCTGCTTTTCAAAGACATTTTAACTCTCCTGTCTAGAATCACCATAACTGTCTAAGCAAGTTTTTTTAAAGAGGATTTTAACAAGTTTATAACAAAATTTTTCTCAATTATTTTCGTTTAGTGTAATGGTATCTGACATTACGTGACATCCCAAAACATACTCCCTGGGACACACAGAGGCACTCCATTCAACTGAAATAAAACCAGCCTCGCCTTCAGATGCAAGAGATCAAACAAGTGCTTTGTATTTGATAAAAATGTGTTTATCCGTGGCTGGGATCTGTATCATCTGTATCCTGCATGATCTGATCACCATGGTCCTCTTGATCCCGCTCTCATTTACCTTTCTACATGGGCAGTGCATAGTCTGTTTGAAATGCTAATCTTATTCGATAGCCAGTCTGGAGTAACTGACCGATTGTGACACTCTCTGAACCTGAAGAGCAGAGGAAGTAGTGCATAGTACATGCTTTCCCATAAAGGGGGCTCTGTCACAATAAAAGTACTTGATGCTTTTTAGTGTCTGGTATAAACAGTAAACATTTAATGACAGTGACCCGGTGGGTTTTGGGAGGGAATTTGTGTTTCAGTTCAGGGTCTGTAAAAATTATGTTCTTTGATTAGTAATTAATTGGCATTTTTACTTCAAATTAAGCAGTTTGAATTTCATTGTTCATGGCACCTTATATGCCTGGGTTGTGAGACGCACAATACAAGCACTCTACCTTCCTTAAATTGGTCCCATTTCATAGTCCTCCTCATCAGACCTTTTTTCTTCCTTCGGATCTTTTATTTTCTCACGTCTATTGTGGCTATGGAGAATTTTAATCTAGTACTTTCCAAAGAAAGTTGACAGGTTTCGTATTCTGAATCCCAGTCAGCTATCTGGCACTAAGAGGTTCGGTGCAGGCTTTCAGAGGAGAAAGTGCAACATCTCTGGATGGCCATTTAACCAATTCTAAAATAGATCCAAAAGGAAAAGATCGCTTCCACCCCTTCTTGGACTATTTCAGAGTGTATCTGCAGAAAGCCTTTGAAGCATTTGCAACACTAGCACAGTCTGCAATTCTCAAGTGGCTCATGTCTTTTTCTCTGCTCCTTTACATTTTGTGTAAATGGAAGCAATGCATGAGGTTTTAAATACTGAACTGAATGGCATACTTGCCTGCTGACGGTGGACCAATCAGAACAGCCACAGCTTCTGCCAGGAGCACTAAACCGATAGCACTGGAAAACTTCTGCGTACCGACGATAGCCATGAGAACTTCAAACTGAAGAGCACCTACCATTCCATAAGAAATGCCAAAGAAAATGCAGAAGACAACCAGTCCACCATAATCAACAGACATAGAACCCATGAGATCTGTAAAGCCATTAAAAATCATAGCAAAACTGAAGAGGTAAACACAGCGTGGCCTAACCCATTTAAGACCAGCTACCATTCCACAGATAGGCCGAGCAAAGATATCAATGAATCCCAGAATAGTCAAAAGAAAAGCTGCTTTGGTGTCTTGATACCCTAAATCCTTGGCATAGCTCACAACAAAAACCGGRGGAACGAAGAGGCCGAGCACCATGATGGATGCTGCTAGCGCATAAATTACAAAACCACCGTCTTTAAACACACTGAAATCCAGAAGCTTTTTCTTTACTTTCTTCTCAGCTGGCTCTTTGGCAGCCTCAGACTTTTTGGGTGGCTCCAGAGGTCTCATTAGTGCTCCACATACGCAGCAGTTGAGCAGCATCCCACCCAGGATAAGGAATCCTCCTCTCCAGCCGTACTCGTGTTGTAGTATCTGCCCCAAAGGTGAGAGAGCGCAAAGGAACACCGGACTCCCGGCAGCGGATAGCCCATTGGCTAAGGGCCGGCGTTTGTCGAAGTAACGGTTTAACATGATGAGCGAAGGCTGAAAGTTTAGTGCCAAACCCAAACCTGTAGCAGAGGGTACATAAAAATTAATACTGCCCTACAATATGACTACTAAATATATTCTAATTACAGTTTTTCTGATTCATGACGTAAGAGAAAATAGTTTTATTCCAAATGGACAAAAGAATCCTAAGATGACACAAAGTAGTCCACCCCCATGGTATTCTTGTACTTTTTATGATGGCGCTTCGAGCTGTTTCATATTCGTAACAAAAGTATGTGACATTTTAATTCCGCATTTATCCGCCATCTTTATAAAAGCCCAGTTGGGTGGTCCTGATGCTTCAGGTATTTGCCACTTATACAAAACTTCAACCTAAGGCTAAGACTAAAGTGAGTAAGTTTTCAGTAATGGACGCTACTTACCAGTAATCACACCTGCAGTTAGATAGATCTGAACGATGCTTGTGCAGAAGGAAGCTATCACCATTCCCATTGAGGCAAAGAGGCCACCCACCAGCATGACAGGGCGGCAGCCAAAGCGATTGACGCATACGCTACAAAGTGGACCTAGGCGAGAMAAGCAAGTTACAGTTGCTAAGATGAACCAACTTTTTCACCCGTCTTGATGACACTTTGTATTTCTTTGGTGGGCTTCAAAATGTTAAGTTCCTAGTTGGAATCAATGATCTTGAAGGTTCTATGGTATTTCCAGCCTCATAAATTCTGACTCGTTCTGTACTTTGTCCATACACTCAAGCCAATCTGGAAAAAAGTCCTTTCCTCTGTAGTCAAATACTTCAGTCCTTTTTGGCTTCGGAGCGTCGTGTGGTTTTTCATCATCTTTAGCAACTGCTCCATTATGGAGACGTAATTTTAAATCCAAGCTGGATGGGCTTAAATAACCTTTTGATTTATGCAATTGATAGTAATTCTTTGGAATGCCTTACTTGTGCACAAGTAATGATATGCGGTCATGATTCACACTGTAAATGGCTGTAAGGTTTACAAACTTAATTGTATGTCACAGTGCGGTTTTCAAAACCAGATAACTACTCACCTGTTCCATAAAGCATGGCCAAGAGAATGGACGAAATCCATGCAGTGTCACTGTATCCAATGCCAAATTCCCGGATAAGTTCTTTAAAGAAGACACTAACTGCTTTAGGAAAGGCATAGGAGAATCCTGTGATGATAAAACAGCCAAAAAGGACAGCCCAGCCCCAGCCTCCATCGGGGGCTTTAACACCAGATGGACTATCATCAGCTACTACCGCTCCCATGATGAAAAAGCTCGAGCGATCCCTAGGAAACAAAAAGCAATTAGGGCCTATRAAACTGCACCACCATTAAAAATAAGGCCTGGAACTACTTTAAATAAAATTCTTGAAGATGAGATGTAATGTCAACTATTCCTTGTTTGAGCTCAGTTCTTACAAAGCCTGCAAAAACACATGAAAATTAGATGCTCACAATTGAGTTTTAAATGAATGTCCCCTCAAAGCTCTCAATGGCAACAGTGGATTTCAGTGAAATCAATGTTTAATCAAAAAAACTGAAGCCATTACAGCACTACAGGAATGTATTTGACTTCACTAATACGTAATAATTACTACATTAAAGTCTGCAGGATTTTTTATATAAGACATTTTTACATGAAGCTCCTGCCCTATTCACTTAGGAGACCTGCTGCATGACAAGTGTTCTGTGAAATGGTGGACTAAGTAGCCATATTTTTAATTTCACACTGAGGACAGCAGTACAGCTCTGATCTACTGCTATCTTGAAAAGATAGAAAGATCCCTTTAGAATGATGATGAGCTATCAGTTTTCACACATCAAGTAAGCTCGTAAGCTAAACTGCAATGAAAATCTCCGTGGGCAGTTTATCCCAGTGGATGCTGGGAGTTAGTAGCTGCAGCAATGCTCAGTACAACTGCCTGCCTTAAGCAAATACTTTATATTGTTGTTATTACATGATCAGTAAGAAAAAGTAATAATGGATCAATTGAATTTTTCATGTTTTCTGTATGCAGCCATAAGCACCTTTAAATCTAAAAATTAAAATCTTTTCTCACAAGTATGTTAGGTACTACTAGGGAGTAAAGCTGCCAAGTTTTAAAAGGGAGAAATGTGGGGTAAAGAGAGACACTGAAAAGGCATGCAAAGTGTCCCAGTATGTGAGGAGTGTGGCAGTTATTGCATCGCAACAATTAAGTTTTTGTACGATCTGTGTTCTACACAAGTCTTGAAGATGTTAAAGTCACCTTTGAACACAGATCTTACACATTAAATCTTACATGTACAAAAACTGCCTATTTCTTTGAAGTGCAGTTGATTGTGTCAGTGTTTCTTTTCAGTGGTATCTAAAAGAGGAGTGCAAGCGGAGTTGCACATGAGAAATGTTCATGAGTAAAGAATGCCTCTGCTTTCAGCAATACAGGCCTGCTCAGCAATTGTTCTAAGTGGGCAACTCCATAAYTTTTACAGCTCAGTCTACATATGACACAATGGTCTAATGCAGACTTGTGTAGACAACTGAGCACCAAATGCATGATTGTTAATAGGCCGGTATGGATGTACTTACCATGGTATTTAGACCAGCACGCTCACTTCTTGGAAGAAACAACTTTATACACACGATACAGCAATAAATCAGGCTGTGACTATGGCTGTTCAAATACCCTGGCCTGTATGAGAACAATAAGCCTCACCTCCTATTTACTGGAAATCAAATACAAACAGAAARCAGTTTGTCTTTAGTCCAAACAACTAGAACATAAAATGGTGTAACAAGAAGGGAAACAGAATACCTCTACCAAACTAGTCATCGAGGTGTATGTGGCTGCAGATGGCTCATTTGCTGATTGCTGTCAGAGTATGTAAAAATACGCAGCTCGGTAGACTCAGCAATTTCTGCCACAGGGAAATTTGAGTTGCTTGATAAGGGTCTTAAGATGCGTCTCTTCCAAGGCTCCCAACACGGGGATCTGTCCACCCTTAAAAACACTTTTTCCCAGTAGCTTTTGTTTGACACAAGGTATAATGCATTCTTCAAATAAAGACTTAATTTTAAAAGCAATAACCAGACAGCACAGAGTAGGTGCACAAAGGGTAATCCTTGTGACAGTGACTACTCTGTAAGATTAATGATAACAGGGGAACTGCTGTCAGACGTATTTCAGGACAAATGTATAAAGAACTGGTAAAAAATGACAAATTGAAGGACTCCGGGGGGTAGGAGGCATTGTCACTCACACCACTTCCAAGCTGCCAGAATATTTCATTTGGAGTGAAGATTTAAAATGTTGGGGAAAGGATCGTTTGCATTACCCATCTAATAGCAACACAAAGTTAGTAATAATACATGAGAGTGCTTTGTTGAAAAATGACAACTGGCAATCTCTGCAGACTGCTTACACAGTGCTGGATGGGGACATTCAGGACCTTACGGCATCCAATTCTCTGCGCGCAGGCTGGGACAGTCTCTTTTACTGCGCTTACAGCAAAGTTGTTACAAGGGCAGCCTCTGCAAACCTACGGTGCTGAACCGATAGCAGTTTGACAGCAAACTACACCCACGCCGTATGAAGCGGCGAGCGGCTTTGAGGGAAAACACCGTTAAGAACCACTCGGCAGCACGCTTGTTTCTTCCAGAGGAGAACTGTCCAAGCTTTTCAGGGGAAACAGAAGTGAACTCGGCACCCGGAGCTCCGATCCTGGTGCGGACGCGGCTCGAATGGAGACGCGGCTCCCCCAGCCCCGCTCGGACCCTCGGGCCAGACGCTCCCCCCCCCCCGCCCCCGGCCCGCGTGACCTCGCAGCGCCACGGCCCAGCAGCGCGCGCGCCCCGCCGCACGGAGACGTGCGGGACGTGACTCGGGCGAGGGGCGGGCGCTGCCGCGAGTTGTGCCGGGGCCGCACCCCCGCCCAGCGCTCGCAACCGCGGTTGCCGGAGCGCGGTTCCCCCACGAGAGAGGGAAACTACCTCCTTCCTGGCCGTTCTTGAGCTCTTCCATACCCAGCAGTGCAAGTCAGCCTGTAAGAGACATATTCTGCTCCTCCTGCCCTACGAAACTCGCCATCTGTCATGAGGAACAGTCTCTTAAAACGGTATTATGTTCTAATATGATGAAAGAGGTAGACTTCCTGATGTGAAGCAACCTGGCGTATTTTCCAGCATTTCGTAAAAATAAGCCTACAGGGAAACGCACAGTAATAGCCATTTACTCTTCTTTACGTCATGTCTGTTACCACATTTGGCTAAAAAAGTCACCATAAACCCGCACACCACATCTTCAAATGGCATCCTTTCAAGACTGGTTCACATTTGCACACACGTACGCGTCAAACACCTCTCTTAAAGGGAAAGGCTGAGAGAGTTCAGATTGTTCAGACCTCAGAAGAGGACGGTCTAGGGGAACCTTTTGCACGCTTCTGATGCTTGAAGGTGCTACAAGAAGGCTGTAAAGGGACTTGTTACAAGGGCTTGTACTGATAGAACAAGGGAGAATGACTTCAAACTGACAGTAGGTTTACGTTAGGTTTTAGGAAGAAATTCTTCATTGTGAGGGTAATGAGGCCCTGGTGCAGGGTGCCCAGAGAACCTGTGGCTGCCCTATCCCTGGAAGAGTTCCAGGCCAGGTTGGATGGGGTTTGGGGCAACCTGGTCTAATGGGAGGTGTTCCTGCCCACAGCAGGGTGGTGGAATGAGATGAACTTTAAGGATCCTTGTAGCCCAAACCATTCTCTGATTCTACAATCCATATTATTATGTGCATCGTTTGTTCATGTTAACACATCAAAATTAAAAGACCATTATCAGAACTAAATGAACCCTGTTTCCATAAAGACAGCAAAGATGCGCTTCATCCTGCTGCAGTATGCCTTACTCATTTAAGACTGTATTCACCTCCTTAAGAATTAATAAGGAAGTAGTGCGAAGGTTCCYGTGTGAAACATACGAATGAGGAATACTACCTTTAGAAAAGGCAGGCTTGTGGTTGATCTGCACAGGCAAAATTTTTACTTAGGATTTTGTGACAGTGCTGGGATGTTATCAAAGCCTGCTGAGCCAGGAGGCTACTGCCTAACTATTGCAAGAGCTTGCTTTGCTTTCTGCTTTTACCAGCTCAGCCGTATCTAGAGGCAAAGGATTACTTTTAACTGGCTGCAGATCAGTTTCATATTTCCACAACAGACATGATAGTATTGTCAGTATTTATTCCAGATTCCTTCCATCGTTAATGGATTCTTGCTTTGGTAATGTGTAAAACAAAGGGAGCAAATGCAGTTAAATCTGTGGGGTTTCATCTTCTTGATGCTATCTTCTGGTTGTCATGGAAACAAATGTAGAACTGCGTTAGGAGAACGTATTAGGTGACTGTAGCACTCTAGCACTGTGGGCAGTGTGACAGTGTGGTTTCTGGGATGATGTGTATTAAGAGGACAGCATTTGTATTGTAAAAAAGAATGGCTAGAGGTGGCAGGAATCTATTATTTGTGTTTAGCCAATACTCTTATTGGCTACATATCTATACTTCATGGTCAGCAGAAATGATAGAGGATGTTTGTGAGCCTGTAGGCTGACCTATGTAGCTTGAGAACTTCCTGTTCTCAAGATGAAATAATTTCAAACATTCTCAAGAATGCTTCAATTATTAATTTCTTCTAACTATGGTTAGAATAATTAATTTCTTCTAACTATGGTTAAAATCTAGCTAACCTTGAATTCTTACAACACAAATAAAAAGATGGTTAACAAAAACAGGACATAAACTTCCAAGTAGGGAGCCCAGTTCAGCCTGGACTTCAGTCTGGAACCCCACCCAGCTGAGAACGGTATAATTACACAATGAGGAAGACTGTCTAAGCTGGGAAATGTAGACATCCTCCTACAGATTTCTTATCTGTGAAGTAAAGAAAATAATGAATCTCTCTTCCTAGAGTGTTGGGGGTATGAATATATTGAAAAGCATAGACTGCTCAGTACTGGGTTAATAGGAGTCATAAACCTCCTGTATTTGCCCAAGAGTATTAAAATTTAGGCAGACTAAACAAAATATGAATGTTATTCTTGCTTTTAAGTGAAGAATCCTAAGACTATCCAACTCTACTGAAGTTTTGCAGGAAATTACTCCTCAAAAATTATTTTTATTTTAATATTCTCCAGACCCTTATGATAGCCCTCTACACAGAGAACAACTACCCTTTGCACTGACATCACTGAAGTCTGCCTATTCAGCATGACATTTAACTCCTTCCCGATTCTCTAAGGTTCACATGTGTATATATTTAAATCCTTTTTTTTTTTTGCAACTCAAGTACCCCATAAAAGCCATTTAGATGGGCCACTGGTATAACCCACTACGGTGTTTCTTGTGGCTTACCTGCTTAATTATCAGCCAATTGAATTATATGTTCATTCCAAAGGTTGCTGCAAACTTCTGTTCCCTACAAAATCATTACTGTGTTTACCAATGACTTCCTGTCCTCCCTGCAAGGCCCTACAGTGACTGCCGCTCTCCCATTTTGCCCTCCTCCTTTTCAAGCGACCGCTTTTCAGATGTGCTGCCTTTCTTAAGGGTTTGCCAGTTTTTACCAAATTCTCATCTCCCTCTCAACCCCTAGGATAATTCTGTGCTGTCTGTAGCTGCAAGTGATATTCCATACCAACATTTGACTATTAACAAATCTCCAGTCTCCATTTAGCCTCAAAACATCTTAAGTGTTCACTGCTGCAGTCCAGTGAGTAACATTCATCACAAGTTATTAGCAGACCACAGTGATAGTAAATGCACACTGCAATTTTATGTGTAGCACATAATATTAACCAATCTAGATTCTGTTATCTGGGCAAAGTGTGCTACAGGGACAGTTGTGACTATTTGTTTGTTTTATTTTATATCACGAAAACATTAGAACCTCACTCTTTGCATTATTTGGAAAAACAAATATACTAGTCCTATTACAATAATGTTGTTGACCTCCAGAGTTATTTTATGTACATATATATACATATATAAATGCCCAGTTTTTGGAGAAGTGGATTGATTTTTCTAAAAGTCTGTGGGATTTTTTTACGCCACGCCTATTAGCATAAGTTCCGTAATGCCATCACCACAGCAGCACCTTAACACCAGAGAGCATATGCCCTTTCTGTGTTCACAGAAAAGTGGCAAACACGCCTTCAGTTATATTGCAATTATCTGATTGTTTTCCATGTGCTTTCAAAAGTCTAAGTGCAGAATCCCAACCTCAGTTAGGAATGACACACAACTTATTTTCACGCATCAGGGAAATCAATTTCAGCCCCGCAGCTAGGATGGCTTTGCAGTGTGTTGAAGCTTTAGAAAAACAGAAACACTTGCCAACTTGCTTATAGCAGAGAAGAGTCCTTACATTGTTTAGTATAAAACCAAAGTGTTGCAGAGAGAACTAAATACTCATTAATTTAGTCTAGACCCGTCACCGGCTGGGCATATGCACTTATTTTTGCAGAATACTGTGGAACTACCCTGATACATAAAGTGCTCACATGCACGTGCAGTGTATCTCAAGCTAGGCGAGCACATGTAGCTGCATGTAATGAGAAAAGATCGTCTGGCTCAAAGGTGTCATTTTACACAATCACTTTGCACGGTGCAGCTGCGTAATAGGGTGTCATAGATTGAGACATGTGAATTGCCACTTCGGTCACAATTTAAAACGTCACCTTCTTATTTCTATAATATACCTTGAGTTATACTTCTGAGTGAACCACAACAGGTGTACAGTACGAATAGATTCTGGTTTGCATTTTAGAATGGCTGACTGCCACACCGCTTCCTCTGAAATAATCATTGCAGAACTACACAGGTCTTTACTCTGTGACATACTAAATTGAACGGTTTTCCAGTTGCTTTGCCCCAAAAGCAGGGAAATCTGCTCCCCGAGAGGAGTGCATTTCCACTAGTGCTAACGGTCTGCTGCTGTGAGGAAGGTGAATTGCTGAAATTCAGCTCGACCTTTGTGCGCTTTTTCTTCTCTCCACAGAATTGCTTAGAAGGCAAGCCGCAGACCCCTCGAGGAGGATTGTGAACAGCATCAAAAAAGGGTTCTTTCCCAAGGGATGGAGAGGGACTGTGGTGGCCGCCGCGCGGGGGAGGAGCGGGGCTGGGAAAACAATGGTGGCGGTCGCGGCGCCGCCACGGCCATGACCGCTCGGGCGGCGCTCCGGGGCGCGCACGTAGCCCGCGCAGCCCTCAGCCGAGACGGCTCCCGCGGAGCGCTTGGGTCGCCGCTGCAGCCGATGCTCATGCAGACCATGGAGAGGCCGCGGGATTCCGCTCCCGGGCGCCCTACCGTTCTTAGTGTACTTGCTGAACCGAGCAAATGAGCTCATGCCCGGGCTGCGACGATATCCTTATTAAGGGGACGCTCCCTCAAACCGCGCGTCCCTCGTTCTGGCGGACCTGAATGGTCACCGCTGTGACAAAGAACTCTGAAATTTACCGCCCGGTGCTCGACACTGAAAGAGGAGGTGAGCAGTGGCGAAGGGACCGCGGAGGCGAGCCTTTAGCGGAGACCCTCGTCGCCCATTAACGGTTTGAGGAGACGAATGGCGTAAAGGAGTAAAGCCCGAGCTAGCGGATGTCCCACGCGCCACCGATGTGGCACTGTGCGTGCCCTCGGGCTGGCGGCCCCGCGGCTCTAGGCGTGACCCGGCCGCCAAAGACGGGAAGCCGGGGGCAGCGCTGTAGAAGGTGGAGCGGGAGTCGGTGGCCAGCACCGCTCAGAGCCCGGACAGCTCTTTAAGGGCGATGGCGATGAGGTCGTTAGGCGACCCGTACAGTAACGCGGGCTTCCCGAGGAAGAGGTACTCCCCCCTGGCTCCATGCGGGGGAAGAACGTAGCCGGCTGGACGGTGCCCCACCGACCTTCGTGAGGTGGCGCCGAAAGATGAGAGGACAGTCGACGTCGCGCCCACCGCCCCACGGGCACCCAGCGCAGCCTCTGGGCGAGGGACGAACCCTCGAGTCCTGCGCCGCCTTTCCCCAAAGCTTGGGCCGCGCTCGGGAGCATCTGCTGGCCCGGAGAGCCCCACGCAGAGAAGCGCCCCGGGTCAGCCTGGCTCTCTGGATTCGGCTCAGCCCGTTCCGGACCCCACCTCCCCCCACCACGCSGCGATCCCCACGGCGATCGTACCGGTGTGCCGGGCAAGCACTCCGCAGCAATCACGCACGACGGCTCCGCCTCAGTACCTGAGTCACGTCCCGCGCCTCAGCGTGAGGATGTCCGTGCTCGGGCCGGACCGCAGCCCGCTGTCCCCGTGTGCCCACGCAGACCCGCCACAGCCCGTCTGATGCCGCCGGCTGGGGAGCGCTCCCGCGCGGCGGATCTGTGGCTGCTCGCCCCGCCCCTGCCACACTGGACGCCCCCTGGGTCCTATCGCCGCCACGGTGATTCCTTCCCCCCGCTACGGGGTATTCCGCCCAGGGGTCCCGACAGCGTGCAGCGCGGCTCGGCCGGCGCCTGCCCGGAGCGGGGCCCCGGGGCCTCGCAAAGGCATCAGCACGAGCTTTGCGCTGCTTGTGTAGAGTGCAAGGCGCGGCTGGATCCTGCCGGCGTGGATGCTGCACTGGCTGTGCGGAAGAGCAGGACCTGAGCAGTGGACTTCAACGTATGAATGGGTTTCCGAGGTTGAGGTTTGTTCTGTGCTGCCGTGAATTACTCTCCCGAGCTTCCTTGCTTCATTGTTTTCTTGTTTGTACTTTTGAGTGTGATAACTGTGCATTTCATAAACAACTTACAGGCTTCCCTCCTTGTCCTTCACCAAGGGAGCACTCCCTACAAATAAACTTTCTTAAGATACCCCTCCTTTCACATCAAAATGGAATGAGTTTTCTGCATTGAGCTCTTGTGGCTCAACTGCAATCCATACAAGTGCTGGATTATAAAATTGAGTGTGTGTTGATACTGCTATTTAGCACCTATGAAAGTTGTGGTGAGGTTCTCAAGTGAACTACAGAAAGTAGCACTCCTAAGGCTACCTGAGTCTTAGGAAATTCAGGAGTAGGTGCTCCATTATTATGTGTGCTTCTAGCACACAATCCAGCCTGTAGGGGAGTGACTGGACCCATGTGCTGGGCACTGGTGAGGCCGCACCTTAAATCCTGTGTTTAGTTTTCGGCCACTCCGGGCAAGGCAGACATGTCCAGAGACGGGCAACGGAGCTAGGGAAGGGTCTGGAGCACAAGTCTGATGGACAGTAGCTGAGGGAGATGGAGAGGCTCAGCCTGGAAAAAAGTAGGCTCAGGGAGCACCTTACCACTCTCTACAGCTACCTGAAAGCAGGTTGTACCAAGGTGGACATCAGTCTCTTTCCCAGGTAACGAGTGATAGAGCAAGAAGAAATGGCCTCAAGTGTTGTCAGGGGAACTTTAAAATGGATATTAGGAAATAGTTTTCTCCAAAAGGGTTTCAAGCATTGGAATGGCATGTCCGGGGAAGTGGAGGTGTCACCGTCTCTGGAGGTTAACAGCTGGACTTGATGATCTTAAAAAAAATTCTTTTCYAATCAAAATGAATCTGTGATTCCTATTACCTGTGTGGAGAACACACAGGGGGTAAGGTTCTAGCTTGAAGAGGGCAGGTAGGATATTTGTTTTTGAGAGCAATGGTATTGCACAGATTAGTAGCTTCCAATATTTTGGAACCTACTTGCTGAAATCATGTAATACCAAGGCAGGAACTGAAACTCTTTTAATGGCATAGTTTTTTTCTTTTCCTTGTACATTATGTTTGCATTGGCTTTTGGTTCAGTTTTGCTGAACTATAGCACCCATTTGTAGGTGTTTAATGATTCATTGCAGTGATGTGTGACAGATGAGCAAGGCTCATTTTGAGTAGATAACATACAGAGGGTAAGATGGACATTGCTAACCTTGGAGATTAGTAAAACCACTTTCTGACTGCCCACCATTATCTGAATTTAGGTCGTTCACTTGCAGACTAGGTGTATTCAAGTTTCAACATCAATCCCCGATTTGACATCATGTAGACTGTAATCTTTTTTACTCACCATTGAAGTTTATCCATTTGAGACACTGTTGAATCACTGAAAGTCATCGATTACTCATTTGGGGAACCAACATGCATTTAACTATGTGACTAGGGACAGTTTGAAGATACATTGGAAAAGATGACAGTTAATTTGAAAGGGTGGGCAGGGGTGAAGAAAGGTTGCAAAAGATTATGCATTTGATAGGTTAGGCAATGCCTAATGTAAAGATGCAAAGAATGTCAGCAGTCAGAATGTTATATGGATTTAGACATTTGCCTGTCATGTGTTGGTTCAGATGAGTGCTCTGAGGGGCCCACTGCAGAATATAAATTATGCTGGGACTGGCACTATAATTTTTGTGTGCTCAGATGTGGAAAATAATTTTAAGCCAGTTTTCACCATTGTATTTTAAACCCCAGGTGAATCATATAAACAAATTATCTAAATCCCTTGAATTATTGCAGTATTCTGAACTTATAATTTGCTAAATGGATCTTGTTTTATTTCAAAAGTCACATAATTAGTTCTGGTTCTAATTTTCATTAATAGTTACTGGTGAAAATAAACCCCTTCTTTCTTTAGCTGGTATGGGATTGGGACACAATTCTCTTCTGATGACATAAGGAAAGGTAGGCAACAACTATTGATAATACCCTTATCTTCTCAAAATTAATGTTCATTTGGGTGCAACATTAAAGTTTCTGGAAGGCAAAAGCTGTTTATATAATCTAGAAAAACAGAAAAGTGACAGAACATTACAGGAAGTTTGCCTCATGACTTCCAGACAAGCAAGTCATCTAGAGTGACTAAGGGAAAATCATGGTTTAGGCCTGCTTTATGTGTTACATCTTCCTCTGTCTCACGTAGACAGTATAATGCTGTTTAATTGATGGATACATTTTTTAATAATTAAGTACCTTGGTAGTAGTATGTATTTATCTGTGCTTTTTAAAGTTTTTTTCATGTGATGCAGTGGGAGTTCAGAGAGGATGGGAAGCTTGTCCTAACAGCTGTACTTGAAAGGAGCCAAAAGTCTCCTTGATCTCCACAAAGGAGAAATTGTTTAATACTTATCAGCTGGATAAACAAAATGTATAGGAAAGCAAGTGAACCGGAGAGTGAGAGCTGAGCGTATGGGACAAGTACTAGCTGTGTTTTGGGAGAAGAGGGTGTTACTAAACGGGACCGGGGCTACAAAAGAGCATGCCCGTGCACACACGATGCAGAGAAAGGACTGCTGTGAGAGAGTAGTGAGGGTGGAACGGGGAGAATGCGAGGAGGCGAGAATACGCTGCCGTGTGCAAGTGAATGCAATGCGAGCAACAGAGAAGCACCGGCTGGTTGAGCAGGAGAGCGAAGAGACCACGCTTGGCGCTGCCTCCCTGAGCAAAAGGCGGAGCGGAGGCCGAGGCCCCGTGGCGGCTCCGCGGCAGCTCCATGGAGACGGGCCCGCCTCCGGCACCGCCCTGCCCGCCGCGGCTCTCGGGACACGCGCGGCCTACAGCCGCCAGCGGAGAAAGCGCAGGTTCGTGCCGTCAGGAGCCGAGTCGCGACTGGCCTTCTCCAACAGAAGGCAGTGCGGTCGCATAGCATTCCGTTGTGCCGCACGTTGTCCGTCGGAGCTCCCGACATGTTGCCTGCGCATCTCGCGCCCTTTTCTCTCTCGGGGGACCGTCTTTCTGCACCCTTCCTGCTAAGTGCCCTCTCTTGTGCTGTCCCTGAGTCCACAGTATTATCTTGTGCTCCTCTATACTACCTTCATCTAACGGATTTGACCTCGAAAGCCAGTCTGAGTCTGCCTGCCATCTGCTCTTCTGCCTCAGAACTTCATACCCTCTGGGCCCTCCATGGAATCCTTCCTTGTGGGATCTTCCTCCTGCCTGACGGCTGTTCAGTTGGCAGTGCTTTGCTTTGCCGACACTCAACTGTCTTTTTCTCTCTCTGTGCGCTTCAAATTTAGTTAACCTTTTTAACTGCGGTAGCCATCTGATGCTTTTGGGAAAAGTGTATCTGAAAGCGGGATACAGAAAGAGCAGATCTTTCTTAGTGTTGCATCTTATAGTTCGTGAATATCCATGACAGTGACTAAAAAAAAAAAAAAACAACCTACTTCTCTTTATTCAAATGAAGAAGATACTACTTATACTGTTACTTACACTATTTGTGCATGGTAGTGTGATTTGAATATTGCCAACAAGAATCAGAATATGAAGACAAAACATATTTTTATTTTAATTGACTTAAGGATAAATGTGAAATCTAGGCCAGCAGAATTGAAAGACCATCAGATCACTGTGTCCTTTAGCAGGATTTGTTCCTCAATATACCTGGGAGGAGCAAGCTTGATTTTTTTTTACTCTTCTCACATCCAATGATCACAGACTGATTTTTTGATCCTAGAGATTTAGAGTTGTCTAGTTTGTTCATGAAGAAAAATGTTATTTGAATTGTGACGTCCTTTAGCATAGAGCTATTGCTTAGCATTTGCTGGTCTGAAAATCTCTCTTTCATTTAAAGAGATTAAAGAGCCACTGTTTGAAAGGGATGCTTGTCCGATTTGTTCTCTGCATCCTGTGCTTATTCAGAAGGGATTATCTGTAACCACTGACATAGAATAATACTGTAGAGTGAGAGAAGCTGTTTTGACTCCAGAGGTTCCCCCAAATCTCTGGAGAGGGCTAGGCAAAAATTACCTTTTTTGTTCCTTTTTTTTTTTTTTTTTT